TGCTTTTTATTTCACGTCATTTGAACCGAAGCACTGCAACACCCGCTGAGTGCAACGATAGAGCTTGAAAGATCAAAGACAATTTTTAATATAACTCCGACTGGATTCGTCTGAAAGAAGAAAGTCATATACACCTAGGATGACTTGAGGGTGAGTAATTTATGGGCTAATTTAAATGTTTGGGTGAACTAACCCTTTAAGTATTACATTTAAAAACATGTTCCCATACAGGATTTCTTTCTTTCTTTTTTCTTTTTTTTTTTTTAAAGTTTTTAAAGGGAAAGTCTGCTTTACTGCCGTGAAAAGATGAAACTGCCGTGAAAAATCCTACAAACTTTTTTTTAATTGCGAAATATAGCGTCTCATTTTTGTTTGATTTTGGGATTGAATATGACCGTTTCTTTGTGAGATTGACATTCTTATCTATCTTTTTCCCCCAATTTATTTTTATTTTCACTGTTTGGGTTTGGTGATCATGGCCTTTTTAAGACTTATCTGAGGCCAGTTTTAATGTTAAATGGCTAATGTTTGGAATATGGCAGCAAAAGTTGGGCATAGATCTCTGAAAAATCCCTGTTTTTTGTTATAGTGTTTGATGCTTTAGATAATCACCTGAAGTTCCTGTTTTCCCTTTATTTTGAAGGGCGTGGATGACGCGTTTTATACTTTAGTCCGAGAAATCCGGAAGCACAAGGAGAAGATGAGCAAGGAGGGCAAGAAGAAAAAGAAGAAATCCAAAACAAAATGTGTATTAATGTGAACAAGCCTTTCCTGTCATTACAGACTCAAAAAAAAAAAAAAAAGTTCCACAACTGCATTTTGTACATTACACTAAATTATTAGCCTGTTCAAAATACAGAATGGATCCTTATTCTACTTGCTTTCTTAAAAGAAATGAGCTTTACTTCTCGTTCGGTGCCAGTTGCCCCAAAGTGTTGGTCCCTTGACACATTTCTGGCTTATTTTACCGGGTGGGCTGTGAGAGCTGGTGTTATTTTGCAGTTGGTTTATCTAGAGTAGTTTTAGCAGAATTATAAGGAAAGGTGAGGACATGAAAACAGGCTTTTGGTGTGATGTATGAGAGAGAACTAGCCGTGTAGCTGTTTAGCCGTGAAATTTGCATGCGAGTCACTCGATTTTACAGGAACTGAAACTTTGAGGAATCATTGTTTTTAGGACCAACACTTTCAGGTGGTGTTTTGATACATTTATCACTGTGTATGACCCTGCCTTTGGATGTCCCAGACTTCCAAAAACAACCCGCATGTGAACTTCCATTGTAGTCGGATTAACGCGCCCTCTCTCGAAAGCCATGTATGGTGAAATCTTAACCACGTTAACCTTATTTCCCTGTATGCATGCTGTGTTCTGTTCATTAAACTTCCAGGGAACGGTAATGCATTGAATGCTGTATAATAGCCACTGTCCTGCAGAATAGATTCTATTTCAACATAGCCATCGTTAATTTTTCTGATATTTTCAGTTAAATTCATGAGGGTTTATATAAGAGTCAAAATCTGCTAAGAGGTAACATCATGTCAAAATATATCTTCATTCGACAACAAAATTAAATGTAAAATGCTTGGCAGGCTTGTAAAAATGAAGTTGTATTGTGCACATTCATTTTGGACAGACAAAAGTCGCAAGTTCGTTGACTTGAAAATCAATGTTTTTTTTGTTTGTTTGTTTTTGTTTTTCGAAGTTCTTTTTATTCTCTTATAAATCATAAAAGTCTTTGATTTAAACCTATGAAAAACAGATCCTGTTGTAAATAATAGTGCAAAATCACTTTGTTCAATTACAACCCTTAGCAGATTTTGACTAAAAAAATATAAAGCTGCAGTTGACCAATCAGAGTCAAGTATTCCAGAGAACGTTTCGAATCTCTCCTCTAAGTATCTACATTAGCGAAAAGCCTCACTTCTGCACTCAGAGGAGCATTTTTATTACGTATGAATATTTACCAGCCAAACAGCACCTTTGAAGGCTGATTTAGTTTTTTGCTCAATTTTGATTCGTGAATATAACCTACTGTACCACTAGTTGTTGTGATGCAAATATATGTAAAAAAGGAACTAAACAAATGCCTTGTTCGTTTATGCTGCCATCAACCATCAAGACATTCTGGTTCTAGAAGCCCAATTATAGTCGAACAGAAGCTGAATGCATAATTTCCCAAGACGCAGTCGTGATCTAGTATACGAAGGCAAAATGTGGCTAGCTTAGTTCTGAAGGGCACATTTTCAGCCATCACTCAAATCAAAGCGAGTGATATAAAGATTTATTTTGTGTGGCAATACTTGTGATGTCATGAGATGATGTCATTTATAGGAGATTTACAATATATGAGCAGAATGTTGCTTTAAAACCTTCGGTGAGCTGTTTTACCATACGTCCTTAACCGTGACTAGTTTGCTTTTCTGGTAATTGTTTCTATATTGCTGTTTGACTAATACAGAGAAATCTAAACAGGAAATAAATCAGGATGTCTGCTCATATGCGAAGTCAAGTGTTTCGGGTGATTTTCTGTTCCCTTTAAAGTCATTTGCTAGCCGTCTGTAACGCGAGTAGCAAAGTCATTAGATATTTTTTTGAATAGTTTCTGTTCTGAAATGTTCTGTCTGTTTGTGTGCCAATTGCAAATGTTGATAAAATGGTTCACGTATACATGGACCTTGTTTTAACAGCCTTTGTACGGTTGTGATAAGAAAGATAAATATTTTGTAAATTGTGCTTTTTTTTTTTGGTTTAATGAATTGAATGACACTTAATTGTAATCAAGGGTCATGTGTTAACGTCTATGAGAAAGTGGCGATCTGAGGTCGTCTTTTGCATCTTTCATGTTTTGGTGAATGTGATTGTTAGGAAAGCTGTTCTCAGATCGGCACGGTTTTATAAATGCAACCCAATCCTGTTTTTCCCCATTAATCTCACCAGTCTTATTTAATGTGTAATTAAAAGAAGTACATAAAACCCACAGGAGAGACTCAGTGTCTGTTTGTTGGTTAAGAATGAATGCAAAATTATCCCAAAAATTGGTATAATGTCAAATGAATTTGACATGAATTGCTAAACTTACTCTTTTCAAAGGTGACTCTCATGAAACCTCATATGAACATTGTATCCCCAAAATCAAATTTTGTTATTTTACATCCATGTTTTTAAATGTTTTTGTGCTTACCAAAGCTGAATTTAATTGATCAAAATACAGTAAAAACAGTAATAATGTAAAATATTATTACAATATAAAATAAGTGTATTTATTTGAATGTTATAAAATGTAATTTATTCCAGTGATGGCAAAGCTGGATTTTCAGCATCATTACTCCAGTCTTCAGTGTCGCATGATCCTTCAGAAATCATTCTAATATGTTGATTTGCTGCTCAAGAAACATTTCTGAATATTATCAATGTTAAACAATTGTGCTGATAAATATTTTTGTGGAAACTGATACATTTGTTTTTCTGGATTCTTCAATCGAAAGTTTAGAAATTAATAGACAGCATTTATTTGTAATAGAAATCTTTGATAACGTAAAAGTATTTACTGTCACTTTTAATCAATTTAATGCAGAATAAAAATGTTTCATAAAACAAATCTAACTTTTGAATGGTGTATGCATTTATATATATATATATATTGAATTGAAGCAGTCATTTTCATGAGATTCACCCTGATACGTTTGCATGCATGTCTCTTATGTGCCACAAAGTGGCAGTATTCTCTCATGCCATGCTATAATAGTTTCTCAGATGGTCTTCTGTAATGTCATCCTAACAGAATTAAAATTACAGGCTCTCTCAATAACTCCCTGATTTAATCCGGAGCACGGTATCATTTCTTCGGCGTAATTACATTCGCCACGTGAAATTAAATATCGAGCTTGCTGTGGATTTGAAACCTACCTTTGTCTCTGGTGCCAAGATGAATAGGTTGTTCCATATTAGTTTAGCTGCAGGCGAAAAGGACACGTTTCATAGGATAAGCCTTTTGCAATTAATAATGCAGTTTTAAAATGTGATTGCAGTGCTCGGGTGTCCTGTCTGGTGTCTTGAATACAATTTTACAATAAAAATATACGTGTATTGTTTAATTATGCTGTGTGGAAAACCTACAGAAACCTCAATAAAACATGGGCCCAACATTGATTTTGGTTTTAAAATGTATTTGCCATGTTAATCCTCTCAAAGGACTTAAAGTCAAGGTAAACCTTCTGACCAATTTTCATATTTTTTTTCATGACCTTTTCGTCATTCATTCGTGATTCATGATTACTAGATAAGGATTTTTAATCCTTCTAGGCAGATTTCATTTGTATGTCAGGTACTAATCTTTTGAATTAATATACAGTATTTGATCCGTTTTACTTAGTATGTAATCCCATTTCTGCCACATGAGAAAAAAATCATGCTTTGATAAATCCTAACATAAAAAGTATTAATTGACATAAAAGGCAAGACTGATGCCAAGTCATAATTGTGAGATAAACTGCCATAAGAGATGAAGACATAATTATAAAGAAAAAAATGAAATGAGAAAAAGTCATTATGACAATGAATATGAGATAATTGACACAATTTTGACCAAGTTTTGAAAATATTATTTTTTTAAATAAATTTTGACTTCAATAGTCAAAATTGTGAGATGCTAAATCATAATCCAAAGATAAACAGTCAAGATTAGTCATTTTTATGAGACTGACTTGTGTCCTAATTGACTTTTTATTTAACTTAGTTTGTCATAATTTTGACCTTTTATGTCACAATTATGACTTAGCGAGTCAGTTTTTTCTTTTTATCTCTTAATTATGATTTAGTACATCTTAATTTTGACACTGACGTTTTATCTTACAATTATGACTACTTATGTCATAATTAAGATTTAACGCAGCATGATTTTTTTCTTATGTTGCGGAAATAAGCTACCATATTTTACACAACCAGACAGCTGATGAAACATTTTATCTTTCAATATAAAATGTATATCACTTTCATTCACAAATAGCAAAACTTTTAGCGAAACATGCTAGAAATTGTGATGGCTTACATTGTAATCACTGAAACTAAAGATGGAATGGGATTATGTTTTTTTTTTTTTTTTTGTCTTAATGTATTCCAAATGTTTTGGGGTCAAAATGTTAGGGCCCAAGTATATGATTCAGCCCACAGCTAAATTTTGATTGTCCGTCCTCTTCAGCTCTGAACTAATTGTGTCCTAACTCTTGAAAAATGTGTCTGTGACCACAGTTGTTAATTTTACATCCTTGTCTTGTAGTGGACTACCAGGTGACCTTACTCAATCACTGTCTTCTGGTTCTCAGGTCTCACACATGTTTTTGAACCAAGGACCACTTTGTTTTCATTCAGTTTTTCCAAAGCCCTGTCCACAACCCAATTTAGGTTAAGAAAAAAAATACATGAATGCGTGTTGCTCTTGAAATGATGATGTGATAGACTCTCAAATCCTCTTGTTAACCATTGAAATAGAAATATTGGTGGCACCATCACTCCAAGAGCACAAATAGTGTAAGAAAATGGGAGACTCCATTAAATTATGCAGACTATTTCTTGACTGTATGATAGACCTGAGCCCTGAAAGGAGAGAATGGAGAGGCAAATACAAGCTGGAGCAGCCACTGTAAATTCTCCTCTTGATTCTCCTGGGTGCACCTTAGGCCAGACCCTGTCAGTCAAACCTCCTCCACAGCTGTAATCTCTGGACAACAATGAGGGGCCTGCATGTCTGATAAACCTGCTGAAACTGAGCAATCCTCATTCGCAGAACCTCCGGTGGGCCAAGAGGACAGTGAAATAGTGGATGTTCAGAAGTTGACAGACTAACAACTCTCTCAAACATGTCTGTGAAATCCCTTCCAAACTAGGACAAAGATATTTGTCAACGCTGCAAAATGTTCCTGGATACAAAGTGAATTTTCAACGGTCTCTTCAAAAGTTCTTACCTTCTTGCATTGAGTAGACCGTAATGAGGCCAGTAAGGAGACAATATGAATGCAAAATAAAGCACACACACATACAAAACTACAGTAAAACAGTAATGTTGTGAAAACTTTTATACAATTACTGTTTTTTGTTTTCATATATTTTAAAATGTAATTTATTCTGATGGCAAAGTTGAATTTTCAGAATATTTTACTCCAGTCTGCAGTGTCACATGATCCAAATATGCTGATTTGGTGCTCAAGAAATATTTCTTATTATTATCAATGTTGAAAACAGTTTTTGATGAATGATGAATAGAAAGTTAAATTGAACAGCATGTGAAAGTTTTTACTGTCAGTTTTAATTAAATGCATACTTGCTGAATAAAAGTTAATAATTTATTTTTAAAATCTTACTGACCCCCAAGTTTAGTTAGTACATATATATGTAAGACATAAATAAATGCAATACGATACGATAAAAAGAAAAATATATGTAGCCTGTATAGAGACCTGACCTGGTATTTTATAATTGATTTATTGAGGTTAAAAAAGAGAAAGAAGAAGAATATGGATATTTTCAAGGGCAATGTATGGCAGGTAGGACAAAAATATACTTAGTAGCAGTTCAGCTATTAATGGTAGAGTAGGTGATTTTGGAGAGGCTAGCAATAGCAAGCTAACTTTGAAAGCATAAGATCCCACCCTCCCTGCAAATCACTCTCTAAAGCCACGACTCCTCCAAAACACATGAGTAAAGGCTAACCAGCGACACGATGAGAGAGAGACGGCGTTGGTGGAGGATTGAATGCAACACTGTCAGGAATATGGAATATGATTGGACAAACATTTTATGATCCTATGCCTTCCACAGATTATATAAATACATTTAGACCACTTAACGTAGTGATTGCAAGCGGGATGTGAAGAGATTTTCAACCAGCATAACAAAAGAAATTTGAACCATATCACCTACCCTGCCTTTGAGTAACTAGAGCTCAGAGTAGATTGTGGATAAGGGAGGAACTTATTTTACTTTTGTTGTACTGCATAAAGCAGCAGGACAGGGCAGTCATCATAATAGGATCCCTAACAAAAACACCATGAATTTTTAAACACCTAGAGGCAACAACTGTGTGACAGCGATAAAGAGAGATTTGCTGAGGGTCACGGCTGAGAGAAAGAAGATATCAGTCTTGTCAAGATTAAGATTGAGTGTGTTTGATATGTCAGGCATACAGAGATTGCAGACATCGAGACAGAAGGGGACATGTACAGCTAAGTGTCATCAGCACATCAACGATAAGAGAAGCCATGCAATTAAATGACAATTCAGAGCTATCTATAAATGTCTGAATGTAGACAGGAAAGAGTAACGGTCCCAGCACCGAGCCCTGTGGGACTCCCACAGTGGGGCTTTTCCAGCTAACTTGGTGTGGTTCTCCTGGGAAGTGCCTACTTATTTGAAAAGCATAGACCTTAGACCATATTGAATTTTACATGGATGAAAACAAAGCTGTGAGGGATATAATTTAAATCTTCACAATGGAATGCACTGAATAAAGGTCCTAGATTGCATGCATTTTTCAAAACTCGCAACTTTCAAAAGTGTTTCATGAAGTTTTTTCTTTTCAAAAGATGTTTTGTCAGCTGAACAATCGGTATGTTAAACTACAGTACAATCTATTGAACACACTGTACTTATATTCCTGACAGCCTCGTTTTTATTCCTATCATATACTTAATATGGCCCTGCATTAAAATGATTTTGGTCAGAACAACATGAACGCAAGTATATATTTTTCTTATTGCTACCAAGCTTTTTTTTTTTCTCTTTTTTTCCTACAAAATAAAGACCATATGATGCACATTAGGTGTGCAAATTATTATTTTTTTTAATAATATTTTATCAATTACATTTCAAAAGCATATTCTGGCCAGATTTTTAATCAACAGTAGGTCAACATGTAATTTTTTTCAAGTGTTCAAGTAAAACATATTTTAATTTTTTTAATTTCCGGAGTTGTTCGGTGCTAAAGTGTTGTAACGAAGAGCAAAGTATGCATATCATGTAATGTAATTCATTCAATTTCTGTGCTTGCAAATGATGGGAAAATATAGTTTGGTGCTGTGTCTCCAAACAGCTAAATGAGTAGTACTGTATGGCAAGGTTTTTTTTCGCTATTCTTCATCAACAGTATCCTACACAAACGCATAAAAAACTGAATTGTACTATTTTACTTGTAATAAAACATGTTTCCGTCACGATTCTGCAATTGACACGCCCCGCTTCCCGCCAATCATCATTCACAGAAAGCACGAGGCAGGCCGAGAGAAGAAAACGATGCAAACAAGGACATTAGTGACTTTAGAGAGTTTGGACACGTTCACAACAGGTTTAATTTGTTTTAAATAATAAATACTACGGCGAATGAGTTCGTGAAGAGTAGTGACTGAGTTTTGGTAAGCACAAACGCAAACTATGCTAATTGACAAACTATGCTAATTAAAATGACAATGCTAAACTTTGTTTTGATATTTGAAATCTATCTATCTATCTATCTATCT